AAATCTCGTAAGATGGCATCAAAATTCTAAAATTAAAAATATGAAACCGTAATTTATGAAATAAGAACATTATATCTAAAGGGTATCAAAATTTACAAAAAAAAAAGCTTAATATTTATTTGTTTACTTTATTAAACATTTCTTTCAATGTAGTTGTTTTCATTTTATGTGATAATACTTTCTCTTTAATTCTATAAACAAGACATAATTTCTGTTCAGTTACAAGTCCGCTGTTCAAGTCCCGTTAATTGTTGTGCCGAGAATACCGACTAACTTGTCAATCGAAATTTTTTCGTTTTCACTAACCTCTCTGCACATTCTTCATGTCTTTTATCCATTTTTTGCAGCAATTTCACTTTTTGTTTGATGGACATCGAAACATACTTTCGTTTTGTACGATCCTTTGGAGCTCCAGAATCGGAAATCTATTAACATAATCGAAAGTTCAAGTTTACTTTTTATATAAAATTGCTCTTACGTCTGCAAAAATAATAATCCGGAAGATTAAGGAACAACGCATCATCAACATTAATGAATAGATATTAGATAATTTAGATTTGCCGTCCGTTATACATAAAACGTGCACGCAAAAACGTATTCTGCGTGCTTGCTGCACACGCATATGCGCAGTCGTAAAGGTCTTACGCGCACGCGTAAACGCCTATGCGCATGTGTCAACGCGGCGCATGCGCAGAAAGTTTTTAGCTTTGAGGTCCGGATTATGGGTGTCCGAATTAACGACTTTGACTGTATTTCCCAAAAGTTCACTTGTACGTTTATAAGTAAAAAGTATACTTACGTTTATCGCCCAGGTAATTCGCAAATTGCGAAATTGGCACCCTTTACGGTAACCCTACGTGTTATAGTTTTGGTAAAAAGAGCATGTGGAGATTCAAATTTTTGCTTTTCGTCAAATTTTGTATTTATGAAAATAGCAGTGTACATGGATAAAGTGAAGAGTGGCGTATGCCATTTTTTGTGCAATTCTGGGATTTTTTTTAAGAAAAATAAGGACGTGTACATGGTTTATGGCGAATACGGTTTTTAATCATGCTAAAAGCAATAGCCAAAGATTCGCCGAAAAATAGTCTGCAACTTATTCAAATTCGAAACCGGAAGGGTTTAATTGCTATTTTATATTTTAAAAGAAATAATATAAAAACTGTATTAAAATTATCTGAATTATAAATTACATTTCTTTCTATTCATACTTTTTTATCAAACTTACAATAGCGTCAACTGGTTGCGATAATTTAAGTACCAAAGATTAAGATATTAGATTGATGTTGAAACGTCATTATGAGAAAGAAAAAAATTGGCTTTTGCTTCAATAGGATTGCATGTAAAATCATAAATGTAAATCAAAATTGTATTAAATTATATGTTTATGAATTTTGTTATGAATATCACATAACTTTTTATTTTAAGCAGTATAAATAAAGCTAATTAATTTAAGCAAATGCAAATTAATGTAGTAGTATGTGGGTACAAAGAGTTAAATATTTTAAAAAAAAAAAGAAGAAGTCGAAATTAATTGAATACTAAGCATGTAAAATATCCTGTTGGCATAGAATTGATATAGATGATATATTGAATATCAGGAGTCGTAAAACTTATTCAAGTTTGAAGTTTATTTTTGTGGACCTCACATCAGACTCTACAATAATATGTTCCATTATTAATAGTAAAAATTCAAATGACAACTTTTGCAGATGTGAATGATAATTTAACTGGCTAATCAGTATCTTATACTAGCGAATTACTCTCAGGATTTTTCATTGAAATATTTGATTTTTCATGATATGTTTAAGATGAATTTTTTAATTAGATTTTCTCAACGATTGGGCATATTATGCTCTTGGGATGATTCATAGTTATGATCTTGCTTTTTTAAGAATTTGAATATATTTTTGAATATTCTGTGTTGTTTTTGCTATAAAACATCTTAGAATGAACCTTTTTTCAAAGGTAACTAAACTTCAGAATACTTTTAATATATTAATTTTAATAAGATTTATGTATTTCACTTATGTCCACATTGTATTATTATTAAAAGCTCTTAGGATCTCTGATTGATCTTGAAATCTTATTGAATGAAGAAAAGGAGAGTTCATTTGCTTCAATATCTTGCACCGAAATAATTAAAGCAATTTTATTATATAGAATTAATGAGGGATATTAATTTTATCAATCTATATCTGTTTTTGTATTCAAGCAGTATAAATCATCTTCATAATTTAACATAGAAAATCATTTGAGAGCTAACATATTTTTTTCATTTTATTACCAAAGGAACACATCTCATGTTTATTCATTCATATGTTAATTTTTCATTGATCTTACATACCGTATAATTTTTATAAATTTTGTGTCCATTTTATTTCTGTATAAAGTTCAGATGTTTTCGTTTTATTTATCACTCGGGCTATATTTACATTCATCGCATCTTGTTTTTATTTCTTTGATAACGTAGAACATTATTTAGTATTTAAATATCTCATTACGATGTAACTGTACTTATTATTCCTAAATTCTCATATTATTGTAAAAATTATTTAACTTGACGAGTTTGAATAAAACGCTGCGTACTACATAAATGAATCAGTCGGCGGCGTCTACTAAGGAACGATCGCCTTCGATTGTGACGTCACAAATCGGTGGAGCAGGCCTGTAGTAAGGCTACTATAAAGGGCTACTATAAAGGGCTCTAGTAGCTCTAGCCTGTAGATATCTAGTTGGCCTTGCTTAGGCCATCGGATGGGTGGGTGACACAGCCGTCTAGAAACTGAGAATCTGAAAGAGTGACGTCACTACGGATATTTTAAAGTTGAAAGAAACAGATGGCGCCCTCTATTGGGGCAAAAAACGTTTAAGTTGTCTAATCTGAGAAAAAAGAAGTACTGCTTTGTACAATCATCAGTTATTACTTTTATTTAATTTTATAGAAAATACCTGATTTAAAATTATAATTCAGAATGTTAAATAACATTTTGCTAATTTTTACATCAGCTAGTTTAATTTTTATTATACGAAATTCTTTGAATAAAAAAATAGATCATATCATTTTAAAAAATCATATTTAAATATCTTATATAATGCTCATTAAGTAAAAAAAACATAGAGCTAACAGTTAATGTTGGACAATAACAATTTAAAATAAAAAGTTTTTATTAATAAAAGCATTGTTAAGACAGTATTTATAAGGGGAAAAAGTTTACAAAGTGTTAATATTATGTGGTGAATGAAATAACAGTTGAAAAATGCAAATTAAGTGCTATATGTAAGCAACGAAAGCGATTGTGGAACCGCAGACTACAATAATTTACTTCACAATAAAATATTCAGAGAAGTTATACTAAGATTGTAAAGCACTAAATGATTCTTAAAAAGTGGAACTATTAATGGTTACAATAAGATATAAATACAGAATACACTTGTAGGTTACTAACAAAATGCTGATTGCAAACTATACACATCATTCTGGAACTTATAATACTACATTTAAAAACACTGTAAATATTTGTCTTCAATTTCTTTGCTCATAATAATTCCGAGTATCTTCTATTCTTTTGTGCTAGAAAAACCGTATGATAAGTCATACTAAAACTAGAGGGCGCCACTCTAAAATTCGGGTAGTGGATGTTACGTCAGTTTTTCAGAATCTTAGTTTCTAGACGCTCGTTGAGTACAGACGACAGTTCGTAAACAGTTGAAGCAGATGGTGTGCAAAGTTTGAATAGAAAACCGGTAGTTGCTATCTGAAAGTTGCAACTAAATATTTTTTATGAATACAAATTTGTGTTCAGTTTCTTTGCTTATAACAATTCCGAGTATCTTTTATGAGAAATCATAATTTTTGTGCTAGAAAAATCGTATGATGCGTTCAACTGCGAAATGGAAAGGTGCATTTCGAGGGACAAATGCTTTTCAAATTATACTCTGTGTTATATTATTCCATTCTTTAGCGTCAATATTGATTATTTACATTCATCTTGTTTGGTTTTTCTCCGAAGAGGAAAAAATATGGTATCTTTATTCATTGAATTTGTGATTTCTAAAATTCAGTATAGCTCTAAGAATTTAAAGTGTGTTTTACTTTGTTTAGAAACAAATAATATGACTCTGCCTTGAACAGTTACTGACATTAAAGTTTTTTAAGGGGTTTTTGAATAAATGCTGTTAAATTTCGAGTTATCTACATTTTTCATTAAATAGCTTAATTCCTTTATTTACAGCAATTAATGACTTTTTACTTTTAAACTGTATGTTATTTATGTTTCTCAGAACATTGGGTAATGAAAGACACTAGGTTTCATATGTAATGAAAGGAAGGTTTTTAATAGTTCAAAATTAAAGAATACAAGATTAACACCAGCTTGAATATTAACAAGTAGCAAAACATGGCTTTAATACGAATTTAAGAACTTTTTTTAAAACTCTTCTTTCTTCTGAATGTGAGAATGCTATTTTATTATACAAAAACCTCAGCCTAGCAGAGGCAGCGTATGATAGGTTTTTAATATAACAACAAAGTATTATGTTAGTTTAAGTGAAATGCTAGTCTGCAATTGACTGAACTGACTTCATACTCACATACTACTTGCATACTGAATATTCACATACTACTTGCAGATGCACTTTGCAAGCCTGAAATGTTGAAATAAATAGATAGAAATTGTTATTTAGTATATTAAGATTTTGAAATAAGAATGAATTTGCATAATTAAAATAAATATTTACGTATAAGTGTCATTTTCAAATTTTTAAGATCTAGAAATTAGTTGTTGTTTTAGAAAGACATGCTTTTATTTGAACTTTTTAACCTTGCATTCTAATAAGTAAACAGTTGGAAGAACTTCCACAAAGAACCAACAATTTTAAGTGTGTGCATACTTTTTTTTTTTTAAGTAAGCAATCATTATCAATGGTAAATTATTATTTAATTTCATTACTCTATATCTATCCATCTCTCTATCTTTCTCTCTCTCTTATATATCTTGCAAATTTTTTTAAAAAAACCTCCAAAAGAAATAATAAAAAAATAACTTTCAGTTACAAAGTTAATAAACTGATAGTATATTAGTTTTTAAAAATCAAAATATTTAAGTAAAGAATTGAAATAAAAATAAATTAATTATATTAGAATAATTAAGATTGTTCTAAATATACTCTCATCAGAGGGAAGAAATCTTCTCACTTATTAAAATAATTATAATTAAGCCATTAGTTCTAATTTTTTGATTTAATTAATTATTTATTTAATGTTCCAGTCTTTAAAATTAATGGCTAATCATTTATCAACTTAGCTAATCTTGGATATGTAACAGGTATTTGGGGCGACATTTTGGTAAGGCGTAAGGTTACTAGCTAGGACTTTCGCGTGCACATGATAATATAGTCAAGAGTGTGCACAATGCCATTTTTGTGCAATTCTGGGATGTTTTTTTAAGTGAAAATAGGTTGACGTGTACATGGATGATACAGTGTATGTGCAATACTTAAAAACGTGGCAAGCAGTGGGCAATTCTGCACTTTGTCCCAATTTCGCACCCAATCTTCGTCATGATTAAGCACTTTTGTTCCATAAAAGTTCTAGCATAAGCGTAATTTGGCTAGCAGATTGTTGGAAAAAAAGGCTGGAAACGTTGAGTAAAAAAAAAAAAAAATGCTTTTACTTCCTAAAACAAAATGGCGTCCAAATAAAAACTAGCAGCGTTGGTCGCCAAAAAATCGCCAAGTTACCGTAATCCAAAGATTAACCATTAATGGCTTTTTCACTTTTATTTTATGTTAGTATATTTATATTATTAAGTTATTTTTTGATTTCTTTATTGTTTCATGAGGTTTTTTTTAATTAAAAAATTGCATTAATAATTAATTAATGTTGCTGCTTTAGTGTAAAATATCCTTTTATTGGAATTGCACTTTTAAAATACACATTCGCATACATATGTACCCATATTGTAGTTTTAATATTAGTTTTGTTTTTTGCTTATTCTTCCTCTTTTATTGCCTTTTATCTGTAATAAAATCATTCCAGAGTGAAAGCTAATTTTTGTTTCTCTTTGACATGATGTGTATAAACCCATTTTGTAAAATTTGTTTGTTGCCATATAATTTTATAAAATTGAACCACTTGTGCTAAAAAGATGTTCCACGCACGTCAAGATGCTTTTGTCTCAAACCGTGTGCAAAAATGAAACTAACGTGGTGCACACGTCGCCTAACAATGAGATTGTTTATTTCTCGAGTTACAGCTCTGGATTGCTCTCGCAGATGCGGAGCGGCGTAAATGAGACACTTTACCGCTTATTATGTTGTAGCGCATGGACCCACAACCGTGAAGTTTAATTGTAGCGCAAGGGGTTAATTTATTTTTTTTTTTTTTTTTTTTTTTTTTTTTTTTTTTTTTTTTTTTTTTTTTTTTTTTGTTTTTTTTTACAATTTAATAACGATTATTTGTTTATGAGATCCCTCTGCTAGGGGGAACGGGCTGGCTGCTGGTGTTTTCATGGGTTTTCCCATGTGTAACTGTTTTTGAATTTTGGCCTGTGTAGCGGCAATGTGGTGCTAAAATTGCCGCTACGCAAGCCAAAACAAGTCAATTGCACAAACTCGGTATCCAGTACCATTTTCTATTTCACTAAAAAATCCCCGAATTGCACAAAAATGGCATTAATGCCTTCCTCGACTTTATCCATGTACACATCGACCTATTTTTACTTTAAAAAAAAATCCCCGAATTGCAGAAACTATGCTTAACGCACTCCATCAAGTTTGTTCATGTACACATCGATATATTTTTACTTAAAAAGTCAAAGGAGCACCCGATTCTACAGTAGAGGCAAACAAAAACATACATAATCTCAATAAACTACATTTTAAACCAAACAATAAAATAACACAAAACAGGAAAAACCTGTTATGCATTTTAGCACTACACAACAAAAATCCCCTTGCCTTATTTAGAAATTCGTTCGTCTTCAGTCTGTGGCACACAAAATTCCTTAACAGTCCAATCCAAAAACTTCCTAAAGTTATCTGAACCACAATCCAAAAATAAATTAAAAATTAAAAATCCAAAAACTTCCTAAAGTTATCTTAACCACAATCTGTATATCTGCGTCGCCACAGAAATTCACAAAAATAAAAGTCGAAACTATACTACATAGTTCCGGGCTGTGGCAACTAAGTAAACCTTCATTTACACAATTAATGCACTTTTCCCCTTTCATTCCAAATCGTACAGAAACTTCAAATTAATTCTACTACATTTAGCCATTGTACCGTTTAAACAATGAAACAAGCAATGTACTTCCTAAGCAACACACCACAAAAGCCTTTGCAAAACATCCCGTGATTCAAAATTTCCCAGAATAATGCAAACGATTATGTCATAATAGAGTTTCCATAACGTTCAACTACTCAGGTTACCATAAATGGTACAACAACTTGGCGATAAATGAAACAACTTCGTGATAATACCAGGGATACCTTAAAGTCACCTCTACCCCATAATGCTTGTAATATGTTTTGTAAACAAATAATTTGTAATTAGGCTTAAAAACAAAGGTACTAGATATATTGGATCACCTTTTTTTTGGGGGGGGGGACAAAATATCTGCAATCAGATTTTATTAACCCATATCTGTTTTATATCTAGGTATTTTGCCTGTAAAACTTTAATAACTTCTTGGTAACAGTCTTTTGTAATTTTTCATCTTTCAATTCATCAATTTCACTTACTCCTTTTCCTTTACTTTTGAAACTATAAATTTAATTAGGCTTGATTCCATAATGGAGTAAGTACCCTTAACATGAAACTATCAAACTGGCAGTCAGAGGCCAAATGCAGCTAACATTGCATCATTATGACAACCTTTCAACTGGTTTCTTGCTCACTGCTGAATTCAAGCATGTGTCATGCATTACATTCTCGTTATGTTAATTTGCACTGATGTTTAAAAATTAAGCATAAGCTTCAAGTTAAATTTTAGATTTTTCTCTGCTGCACCAGTGGCGTAGCTAGGGTGGGGCAAGGGGGGACATTTGTCCTCGGGTGCAGCTTTCAGGGGGTGCCAAATTGATGTTGCGAAATTTTAGAATGAAATGTTTTCCATTCTTGGCACAGAGAAGGGGGCGCAAAATCTTCAGTTGTCCCCGGGTGCTGAAAACCCTAGCTACGCCTCTGTGCTGCACATGTCTTGCACATTTATACATGTGTATTGTTATGAGTTAAGAATGATTTGTTCATTCTTTAATTGGATGAAACAAACAATTTTTGTATATCTCTGATTTTGCAGCCATTTGATAAGTTGTCTTAGTTCTTCCAACCTATACAGCAATCCCTTTTTTTTTTGCTTTAAAAAAAAAAAAAAAAAAACTACACAAATATAGCATTGCAGATAGTAAATATTATATGTAATACATTACAAGTACATACATAACCAAGTACTATGAAGACCCAAATGTCTTCCCTAGTGGCTTGTGAGAAATTATTACAGAAAATAGATGAAAACGTACCAATGAATTGTAACAAGGTCATGGTTAATCTCCTTGAATATACTGATAAATACCAGCTAGATATATATGACTTGGGAAAGAAAAACATTCCTGATGCTATATTAAAATCAGACATATTATGTATGTTATGTATATGAACAATACCCTGAAGCTGAATGGACTAGAGCAGCATTTCTCAACTGGTGGTACGCAAGAGAAATATAGGTTGGTATGCAAATAAACAAAGTATTTTTAATTATTAAATTCAAAAATCTCGTGAAGAAAAAGAACAATTGATAGATAATTTTTGTGATTAACTGAAGCTTTCAAAAATACCACACTTGTTAATTTTATTAGGCTGAACTGAAAAAAAGAATTTAAAGGTATTCCAAATAAAGCTATTAAATTTTTATTCCCTTTTTGCAAAACCTATTTGTGTAAACAAGGATTTTCTTTCATGTTGTATTTTTGAAAAACAAATTTACAGAAAAAAAAAATTAAAAGTGGGTCCTATTTTACAGTTA